GGCATATATCTTGTAGTGGTCTATCAGAATGTGGGGATGGCGAAGGAATATCAAGATCACATTCTTGAATTTTCTTCTTCAACAGACATTCTCGGAAGACTCTGCCGTCGCGTATTCTCCCCTGACAACCCAAGTCACGTCCAGACTGCGCTCGCCGTTGGTCACGTCCGCCGGTCGTCGGCTTCCGCCCCGGGGGGAGAAGTACAGCGCGTCGCTTCGCAGTGGGTGTGCGTGCCGTGGGGCAAACTTGGCTTGCGTCGAGCTTCGAGGACGTCCTTGACCGCTCCCGGGACGACACATCCTCAACACTGCGTGTCAACCAATATGCTGGGAAGCGAGCTCCGGACGCCCAGCGTGCTGCTGTCAGGAGAACCCACGCCTGTTGGTGACATCGGCTCCGCGTCAAGATCCGTCTCCGTGGGACCTGGAAGTCGCTGACCCTTCGGCAGATCTCTTTCCAGAGGCGCGAGATAGGAATCCAGGAATGCCTAGGAACTAGCCAGACCATCATCTAGAACTAGGGAGGAGCACCTGAGGCCCAGAGTGCTGCTATCAGGAGCGCACACCTATCTGCAGAATTGGCCCTACGTCGAGACCCGTCCTCTGCGGGACTCCGTGGGGCTTTGAGACTGCTGACCCTTCGGAAGCGCCTACCCAGTGGCGCGTAATACGCCAACAAGAAGAAAACCAATAATGCCGTTCCTGAACGGCTCCCAGGACCGGCCCATATAAATGGGCTGTGACGATTGCCCGGGTAATGGGGTATGCCTCGAGGCCCGAAACCTGCAGGGACGAAGTAGTCCTTTGCAGACGATAACGATCAGCTTGGCAACCGATGTCAGCGAATAAAAAGCAGAAATCTTTGTCAACTAGAGCCATTACAATAATACTAAATGTATATTAGTAGTTGAATTTCTTAGGGCCACTGTAATTTGCACATGTTTGCCGTCTGTTGCCCCAATACAATGAGGAAAAATGTCCTTGAATTCATGTTCCACAGCCAGTCAATGTTCTTGATTCGAAAGTAGTTTCACCACCCATTTAAGATTTTTATTCAACGCTTCACAATGTTACAACATTGGTCCCTAATTAGATCTGATCTAAATATATATATATATATATATATATATATATATATATATATATATATATATATATACTTGTATTTGCCTAAATGTAATGTTAATGTTCTTTACTTTCTGAAAACCCTGAAAACTTCTTGTCTGCTCTCCACTGTGGCTCAATTTATTGTGTATGAGTCCCATCTTCAGCCCCAAATGGATTGTCTGGGTCCTAGTGATTAACTTTTTTATGGGTGTATCCGTGTAAAAGAAAAAACAAATTGACATATATGTATTTGCGTTTCGCATCGTCATGCAATCTAGTGAAATTTATTTTTTTCCTAATTAATTCAAAATACATTTCCGAAATCACAAAACAGTGTAAAAGGTTCAAGCTTAACCAAGGGGCCAAATCTGGACTATATGGAGAGTGGTTTAGTTTCTAAGCCGCACTTGTGTAAGGAAGCCATCGTAACATGACTTGTGAACCGGGTGCGTTGTCGTGTAAAAGGAACACGCTTCGAAATCACTTTTCCCTTCTTTTTTCTGTAATCATATCTTTTGATTTTTCTAGTAGCGTAATACTGTCCCGTGATATGAACACCTTTATAATCGATCAACAAAATTCCCTTTGAGTCCCAAAAAAACTGAAGCCATAATCGTTCCAACCGATACTTACCTTAAACTTCTTAGGCGGTGTTTATTAAGAAGTTCAAAGTATCACAATCGGCTGGAACGTCTTAGTGAGTGATTAAGTAGTACGCTTTGGCTTGAGTTTGAAGTCATAGATGTTCATTCATGTATACCTACTTTATGCTCTAAATGGTAATAGGCCTATTACACTACACCGAATCAGGGTCCCTAAACTCTTAATAAGAGAGGTGTAAGAGTAAGGTAGTAAAGATCCCTAATTAGGGCGTCAGAGTGGAACCGGTCCGCCTTACTCCCTTAGTGCGCTTACCGCCGTGCAGTGTAATAATACTATTACGAGATTAGGGTTCGTGACATTAAAAACTGCCTATTGAATTACCAAAGTTGACACTAATTGCTGAACACCAATTACAACATAAAACACACTAATAATTAATCACACTGAACACTCGTCACGTACCAGGCATTAATTATGGCGCGCAATAACACTTGCGCGACGAGCACGGAAAGCAGTCGTGTGTTTTGTTTTCCGTTTTTATGTTTTCGCGCGCAACCATGTCCAACAAAGAAAAGGAAGTGTTGTTGTTTGTTATAGACTTGTACAAATATGCCTTATTTGTGGAAGTCGGACCACAAGGACTATATGAATAAGGACATAAGAAATAAAGGTTTTAAAGTGTAAAAGTGTGACAGCCATGGAAATAGCGTCGTTTTTTTGTTTTGATGAGATAATTTGTACGTGGTTGAGCCACGCTGCAGCTATATTATGTTTATAGCATGAACGGGTCGGCTCAATCGGGGTAAGACCAGGCTCTCTCATAATACTAGCGTAAAAAAGCAACTAAATGTTTTTCTTAGGGTAAATGTAGAGAACCAGAGGCCCTTTTTACTCGAAATGAAGCATTCACTTTTAGTCCTCTGGTGTGGTAACGCATCTGCATTTTGATTTGTCTGTTGCGGCATGTACATTAAATAAGCTAATATAATCGGGAGGTGTACATCATATAAAAAATCGTAACATAGTGTAAGGATCGCACCTCTCCTCTCTTCTTTCTTATTATATTATGCATTGTTATGATATTTAATCGAGGATAAGTCTGTGTCTCCAGGTGGATTGTGAGCTCATTTGAAACCCATATTCTATATTTAAAAAAAATCTATAGATGGCAGGACGTCCAGACACTCCAAAATTCTTACGAATTATGAGTTAGGGAATTAGGGGCCACGCCCACCCTTTATTCAGGGCCCTGATTCAGAGTAGCGTAATACCTAATGTATTTAAACGGATAAAGCTTGCAGCAAGCAGGCTGCACCTGTGTGTAATCGTCCCGAAGTAATGCGTACTGAAGCTTCGTACGTTTTGATACTAAAAAGTTATGGTGATAAAAGCCGTGCAATAATCCAAGATGGCCGAAATCATTTTCAAACGCTTTACTAAGGATGACGAATTTCTTTACCTCTATCAGACAATCCATTTGGGGCTGAAGATGGGACTCATACACAATAAATTGAGCCACAGTGGAGAGCAGACAAGAGGTTTTCAGGGTTTTCAGAAAGTAAAGAACATTAACATTACATACCCCTACAAATGTTTTAGCCATCAAGAATGGAATTTTATTGCATTAAACAATGATAGGCAAATACAACATTGGTCCCTAATTAGATCTGATCGAAATATATATATATATATATATATATATATATATATAGTTGTTAAAATGCAATTATTACAAAAAATATGGTTTGGGTTTGCTCCTTTATAAACAACATTACATTCAATCGTACATTTATGCGACAATTTAAAATATAACAGTTAAAAATTGCCCATCCAAAAATATATAAAAATAACATTTTCTATCTACTACAATATTTATTTATCTAATTCTAATAGTCACAAAAATCTTGTATGATTTTCATCATGTTCACATTTTTGCATTGCAAAACCATTACGGCTATTATTATATATTTACCCCCTATACATATTTCCGCCCCTCTATTCCCCTCGTTAGGGGTTGGTTTTGAAAAATTGCAAATAATTTTCCAAAATACTTTCAGTAAGTTTCGAGTCAATCACCCCATAAAATAAAGTTTCACATAATTGTAACAGCCTATTTCCCCCTATTAGGAGTTGAATTTTCAAAAATACTTTTTTAGTGGATGCCTACATCATAAAAGGCAGCTACTGTCCAAGTTTTAGATTTCTATGTTTGGTTTGGACTGCTTGTCGATAGATGAATCAGTTACTCAAGATATCCTCTTTTATAAATTATATAAATTATAGTTACAGGAGTTGAATAAGTAGAATATTTTTGTGACATTTGAAATGGCCGATCAAAAAATTTATTATAATATTTTTGTAACTTCAGGCTCAGAAGGGCTAGAACCCACAGCCGTAAAGCCAGTTAATAAAAAAATATTATTTTCTGTCATCACTTAAAGTAAGACTCATTTTCTGCCCAGGACTGCACTGCACTGCTGCTTGCACTCCGGTCTTAAGAGTATGGTGAGCCAGTATGATGACAGGCTGTGAGGTATTTCATCTTAGTCTTCAGAGGTAACAACACATCTGTGGTCTTCTTTGTATGAAGTAGGCTGCAGGTATCCATGACTGTAGTAATCACTTACGATCCGGTGGCCTGCAAGTTCATTTGTCACTTGTTTCATTAAAAAAAAGTCTAACACATTGGCATTTGTAGCTTGTATGAAGTTAATAGCATTGGTTATTGATTCAAATGTTATGACCATAATTACACCAAATAGAATATAATTCTAATAACAAGTACTCAAAATGATTACTCTTATCAACAATGTAACATACAATTGTAGAATATTTTTGTGAAAATTTTCGAGTTTCATCTATTATATCCTTTATTAAATTACAATTGTCACAATCTTGTACGTATATTCAGTCACATAAGATTTGGCCATTACAGCATATAAAATATAGTTTTGTTAGCTCTTAATCTCATATTTGGAACTGTTATCAACAAGACAGTTTTAACACTTTAACAGCCGTACACGTACTGAGTACGGGCAGTGTCGATCAACTCGGGACGCCGATCACGTACTCCGTACGGGTTTGACTTTCCTATCGTCTGTTTAAAAATTACGTTCCCGGTGCGTGATTGGCGTATAACCCCGGTGTAGAATGACTCTTTAGCTACACCCACATGTATGTATCACCGACGGGAGGTGCGGGGTGGAGGCAGGACAAGCAATCTTTCAGCGCGCGTCGCCAGTGCTCCCACGCCACCAACGTGAGAGCACGTCCTTGCATTTTGGCGCGAAATGGCTTCCGCTCGACGTAGTTGGCGTCTCGATTCTAAAGAAATTTTTGATGTTTTGGTAAATGATGTTGACTCAGACATTGAGGAAGACCCGGAAATTCAAATTGAAGGTAAATTATTGTATTTTATTATTGTATTTTTATTCGAATATACCTTTTTTGCGAAGTCTAGATTTTTATTGGTGTTTTCTCTCTCCAGAGGTAATTCAAGACTTACATGAGGTGGTTTCGGTCCAAGATCATGAAAATGATGATGCTGACATGTCAGAGAACGTATCTGAACCAGAACAGGGTCGAAGTCGAGGTCGCTCGAGACCTACACTTCGAGGCAGAACGAGATCGCGCGGCGGACGCGTTCGGTCAGGGGCGCGCTCGACTACCCGCTGCAGCAGCGGCAGACATGCATCAACTTCTATCAGGGAAATGGATGAAGCTAATGGATGGTCATACGAAGCAGTGCAGCAGCCGCCGGAAAATCCAGTATTTCAAGAAATATCTCGCGTATTAGCCCCGATTGATGAAAATTCGTCACTGTTCGATTGTTTCTCAATTTTTTTCCTGATTCTTTTTGGAAATTGCTCAAGACTGAAACAAATCGTTATGCAGCTCAAATGAAGGCTAAACAAACGCGACAAGGTATCCTGAAACCTGGCACTATGCTTTATCAATGGAAACCAGTCACGAAACAGGAACTGAAAACATTTTTTTCCGTAGTGATTCATATGACACTCGTTCAAAAAGAAAGTTTTGATTCTTACTGGTCAACTCGTGAAATAATAGAAACTTCATTCGCCAGAAAGCACATGAATAGGAACCGATTCAGAGCTATTTACAGCTGTCTTCATTTGAACGACAACTCAAATTATAAACCACGTAATGATCCAGAATACGATGCTTTTTTCAAACTCAGACCGTATTTCGATGAACTGTGTTTTTTGTGTGAGAACAGTTTTTATCCCAATGAAAACTTGACGATTGATGAGGGCACTTGTGGATTTAGGGGTCGAGTGCACTTCAGAGTTTACAATAAAGATAAGCCCGATAAATACGGTATGAAAGTCTACATGCTATGTGACGCGGAAACGGGCTACATACTACGCATGGTTCCCTATGTTGGCGACTCAAAATCTGTCGAGACTATTATCGCTGAATTGAGTGAACCATATTTTGGTAAATGGCACACCATTTATATGGATCGTTTTTTTACGAGTCCGACAATTGCGGACTTGCTTTGGCTGAAAGAAACTCGCACTGTAGGCACAGTGATGGCGAATCGTCGTGGTCTGCCACAGGTTTGGCGACAACAACCGTTGGAAAAAGCTGAAATGGCTTTTTGTCACCGCGGCAATCTAACTGCCTGTAAATGGAAAGATAAGCGTGATGTACTTATGCTCACGACGAAACACGGAGCTAGCTGGACAGAGGTGGATACAAAAGCCAAAGGTGTGGGCGTAACCAAAAAGGTGAAACCAGACTGCATCCTCGACTATAACCACTACAAAATTGGCGTAGATCTCAATGACCAATATGTATCCTATTATTCGTTGAATAGGAAAAGTATGAAATGGTGGAAAAAAATGTTTTTTAATTTAGTAGCGCGTTCTCTGGTAAACGCTTACATTTTGTACAATAAATCCAGAGAACAACGACGCCGCCTGCGATTCTCGCAGTTTCTGATGGACTCTGGGGAACAACTGGTGGAAACTGCATCAGATGCTGAAGCAGGACCCTCCCATGGTCCACATGCTGTCGGGACAAGCACGAGGCTCGTCGGTAGGCACTTCATAGAGAGGATTCCAAGCTCGGAAAAAAAGGAGAAAGTCGCACGAGTTTGCAAAGTGTGTGCCGACATTTCAAAAAAAGAAACCGGAAAAAGGGGGGCGCAAAGAGACCATTTATTACTGCCCAGACTGCAATGTTCCTTTGTGCTACTATCCCTGCTTCAAAATGTTCCACACACAAAAAAATTACGTTCTTTAGTTAGCTCAAGTATGTAAGAATGTTTATGTTGGAGTTTTTTTTTTTCGCTTGTAGACCTCTTTTGTTAATTTTTTTTCATAAATATTTTTCATTATTTTTAATGTTTTTTACTTCTTCCTTTAAAATATAAAGAACAATAGTACATATAAAAGAAGAATAATATACATATCACAAATAGTTTTTATTTTATGAGTCATAGAATATCGGCAAAAATCACCGGCGTACCAGGAACGGCCACCTTTATAACGGTCGGCTGTTAAAGTGTTAAAGAAGACAATAAAACATTTATCCAATTTTAAAATAATATTATTCTATTGTATCTATTACATTATAATTGGCACTTGGGAGTATAAATAGTAACTGGTTGCGTGGAAAAAGAATCGGGTACTCTCACATTTTGCTCGGTTGGTTATTGATTGCCAGTGTCTCTTTCCGTCCCACTACGCTTTCCGTTCCTCACGCACTGAAAGGGGGGGGGGTTCTAGAAATGACGGGATTGGACAATGAAAACGCACAGCGCCCAGATGGAGATGGTAAAATGGTCGACCCATATATGGACGCGCACTGCCACCGCTCACCCCTTCTTGCATCTTAGTCGAAAAGAACCGCTAGTTGTGTCCGCACCTCTGTGGCAGTCGCGCCACAGAATAATCGAGAAGTAACCGCCTCGCATAGTGCGAGATATCGTCGCGCACCACAACGCACCACAAGACCAGTAGCGTTAGCCACGAGGCCGCAAGGAACCCCACCACTGGTGTGCTACCTTCTAATTTGTCTTGAACCGTTTTATTTCCTTGTCGCATTTCTCTCCCTTAGCGGATCAAGTGGAAACTCCTTCGAGACACTGGCAAAACAGTAGATTTTGGAATAGCGAGTGCATCGTCCAAGGCTGCCGCGTGCCACGTCGGCCATCTTGTTTTGGTTGTACGAATCCGCACAAACAATCCACATAGTAACATCTCGCATAATAAGGTCAAGGCTCGACCTGGGAATCAAGCCTGAGATCCCAATCGCCGAAAACATTTCTGGTCATTGGCCCCACCATTTTAGGTTCCTTCGAACGGGATTCGAGGGGCAGTCTGTGGCTCAACCATTTTTCTGGTCCTTCAAGCAGGATTTGGAACTGACGCCCTGTGGCCTGATCGAGTCGCACTGAACCAATTCCTTGGACGATGCACTCTAGTTTGTAGCCTAGCATTACCGGGTACGGTACGCCGTATTGTTGAATTCAAAACTGAAAATAGTTGAAATTTCTTTGTAGTTTGACGTACTATTTTCGCCCAATGATAAACATTGCAAGAAAAAGGGGCAAAAAAATAAAAATCAGAAGGACAAGAGAGGAAAAAACACCTAAACCAAATTCCACCCCACCCAAACAAAAAAAAAAAAAAAAGCATGTCCACCCAAAAAATTACATACCCCCCTCCATACTCAATAAAAAAAAAAAAAACCATAAACAAAGTAAAAAAAAAATAAGGTTAGTGAAAATAACCAACGGGAAAAGTTGAAACACCAAAAAAAAAAAATTTGAAAAAAAAAAAAAGAAAATGCAAGGTTTACCCCAAAACAAAATATAAAACACCAAACTCATAACATCAGTAACTGCGCTCCAAAATCTTAAATTTGATGACCTTATGGACTTTGTGTTTCTACATATTGCATTAAAAAAGCTAGACCCGGAAACCGTGTGTGCGTTTGAAATAGAGAATCGTGGCTCTGTATTGCCATCGTTCAAATCTTTAGCATCTTTCGTTTGAGATTAAATTAAAGTAATACAACGTTCATCGAGTACCAAATCCGAAACGAAGAAGTTCGCCGAACATTGACCGGTCTCGTCATCGAGGACAGCTAGGTCTCTGACGTATATAAACACCACGCCTTCATCGCTTGATAATGCCTGTTTTTATGTAAAAATAACCAAAACAGTAATTTGTATACTTATGCGACCTTCCGTAAACGTTTACAGGACGAAAGTTATAAAATAGCAAAGGCCAACAACTTGTGCTTGAACTCCTTAAGCAATAAGCATCGCGTCGCTACATGTTACTCTAGTTCAGTATGTAACAAATGCCACAACAGACACCTTTGTTTAGACAACGACATTGTTGAATTTTGAGAGTGGTAACATATCCGTGTTAAACAAAATGTGATAGTACCCGATTCTTTTTCCGCAACCAGTCACAATTTTAAATGTGAATGCAATGTTTTGTTTAATTGTTATCCATTATAAAAAAAAGTTATAAAACAGGTTTTCCTCAAAAAATACAAGGCTAGTAAAAGTACAGCCGATACAAGTCCCACAACTTGGCACAGGCTTCCTCTAATTTTTAAAAGGTATATGGTTATTTGTCATGTTGGCATGAGAATGGACCATGCAATTACAGACGTCTCTCACATTTAATTACATTCTTATACAAATAACAGTATCTATGATAAACTAACAACAGATAATATAAACAACTCATAGCAGACCTTAACAAGAAACATTCAAATTATTTCTATTATGAAATAATGGAATGAATATTTTTATTATACAAAAAAATCTTTAAAGAACATTTTTTAATATACCGTTTTTAAAAAGAAGTAAAAATAGTTCTGTACAGTATTTTAACTTTTAAGTATCTAACCTCATCAGTAAGTAGTTACATATACTGTATGGCACTGTACTTGTACCGGACAGAGAGAATGCAACAAATTGACAGACAATAAAGTGAGTTAACATTGCATTATCATCTAGTTTGAGCTAAGTTTCAAGAAGTTAATTTAAGTTTGATTGCAAAATTTGTACCTACTAGACAGAGAGATGGACAATAAGCTAGTTAGTGAAACATGTTAAAATAAAAAGAAAGTTCATTCTATTTTTCCTGAAACTCTCTTCATATAACATTTCCATAAAGTGTTTTTATAAATGCCCGCTTGAGCTTCAGGATTCTTTGACGCAACTATACCACGTCCTACCACAACCACATCAGCTCCATTCTCTAAAACTACTTTTTCTGGAGTATTATATACTTGACCAAAATCATCTTTCGAACTGTCTAGTTGAACTCCTGGAGTGAGCTGTATTAAGCCAGGGTTGTTAAATGTTTCTTTCTTCTGGCAAACAAATCCAGTAATTAAGTCTGGATATTTTGCAGCCATCTTGACAGTAGCTTCCGTATATTGGTGCGTAATTAGGTTACCCTGTAATTGATACATAAATGAAATGATTAAATTATTAAGATCATCATCATCATTCATCATTACAGCCCTACACATGTCCACTGCTGAACATAGGCCTCCCCCAAGTAATGCCACAAAGCATGGTCCTGAGCCACCTGCATCCATTGACTTCCCGCATATCTTAGCAGGTCGTCACTCCATCTAGTGGGGGCTCGCCCTACACTACGCCTACCGGTACGAGGCTGCCACTCGAGAACCTTTCTTCCCCATCGGTTATCGGGTCTTCGAGCTATATGGCCGGTCCATTGCCAGTTCAGCTCTCTGATCCGTTGGGCTATGTCGGTCACTCTGGTTTTACTGCGGATATCCTCATTTGTGAGTCTATCACGCAGAGAAACTCCGAGCATAGACCTCTCCATAGCTCGCTGAGCGACTTTGAGCGTCCTCATACGGCCAGCTGTGAAGGACCACGT